CCAAGATTTATCTCCACAATACACAACCTACTTGGATCCAAACACACCAAAACGAAACAAAAGTGTTTTAAAACAAATTAAGAAAGTGATCTAATAAATAAGCAAAACAGGATTGTTATGGCCTACTTCAAGCTTAATTCCTCATTTGGGTGATGAAATTATTTCCCTAGAACAGAGGTGGGTTCCACATAAGAGTATCAAATTCATCAAATTGTAATCAAACGAGAATTAAGAGAATCATCTGATTCAAGGAGTTACATTAATGCTATGTTCGTCAATTTTAGTAACTTGATTGGCAAAAGCACAAATTCCGATACCAAGATCCAAGCAAGTAGAAGCTAAACTCTAAAGACCGCTAATTTCCAAACAAAAAAAGTTCTATTGAACCAAGAAAATTAGGAGACAGAATCACTCGAGATCTCACCTGAAAGACCAGCCGGAGCAGAAGAATTTTCCGACATGTAATAATAATCCGAGTCTAAAGCTGTGATACGTGGGAGATTCTGAAATACCTTAGCTTTTTATCCGAAGTAAACAATGTCTGAAGAAAAAGACCAAATTTCGATTTACAATAGTTTCAGATTCTCCAGAGAAGAAGCTGGAACCTGGGAACGGAGATAAGTTTTAGAAACCCAGGACTAGATTTGGGTCGGTGAGGTTTTGGTTAAGAAGGATCTGTCACTGGAACAAAGAGAGGTCTCCGATTGATGATTCAGACGTGCGACCAAATGGACGAAACCGATAGTTCTTTTACTTGTCTGATGAGTTTTCTGGGTTTTTTGTGTGTGTGTGTGCTCTCGGGATCTTGTCTTTTTGGTTATTTAACTACTTTTATGTATTTTAGTTTCATTTAAGAAATAATGATTGTTCCGTTAATATATTTTTGTTCATGAGTGTAGGATTCATTAATGCTAATTAGTAATTACATACCAGTTTTTTCGATTTCAAAAATACTACTAGTAGTTTTTTCCCAATAAGTAAGAGACAAATTAGTCGACAAATAAGTGATCAATGAAATGGAAACATTTATTTCTTCTATATTTAGCTGAATTTTACCCTTAAGAAAGTTTCATACGGTACTAATTTTTAAGTAATTATTTTTGTAAATATTTTTTTTTTTTTATAACTCATGGTAAATTTTAGGTCAGACTAATCTTTGGGGAAGTGCAGTCCACATATATACTTTCTCTCTGGGTATGCAAATGAGCCGAAAACAAAGGTCCATATCCGTATAGGTGTCTAAAGCAATATGTTTTTCATTTTGCGCAATAGGTGGATCAAACCTCAAGCGTGTTGGCTCCCCAATTCTGTCTTCTTACCCCTTGACCACAATATCTCGGAATAAACGTATTGTTGATTTCGACAAACTACGTCTTTTACTGTGAAACTAATCATGCGAATATGTCAAGCTAGATCAAAATTTTCAATCTATTAAAGTTTATTTTCTGGTCAGATTAGACCTGCTTGTATCGATTCACTAAATTTTAATCCATTTTGCTTGATTCGATTGTATTTTCACTGTTTCCAAAATGGTTAAGAGTCCCTAATTAAACTAATCACTTCATAAGTCGAACAAGTTCTTAAAAAAAACATGTTGTTATGTTAAATTCAGGTTATACGACGATACACAAACCCAAGAGTATATGACATGTTTGGTCCTTAAACTTATGTGTGTGTATGTGTTTTTAAAAAACTTTGTTAATGAAAACAGGTGAAATGGTTATAGTATGGTAAAATAGGATATAAGAAGAACTTTAAAGGCAATGACGAACTTCGTTATGTTTTAGTGTGTATTTGAATGCTATTATTATTGGGAGAATTATAAAAATAGGCAAAAACACAATCAAAATTAAAAAAATAGACCACGTTTTTTAAAATTAAAAAATAGGCATCTTTT